GCCCTCTCGCCTGTCAGGCTGATGGATGGCCCCGATATGGTCGAAGGGCCCCAAGAGGGCCCTGGCGAGCGATGTGTTGGGCGTTCGGAGCCTCAAGCAGAGAGTCCGAAGGCTCCCCGAAGGGCCCAGGCCCCAACGCGCAGCTCCGAGGAGCGACATGCTGGACGCACAGGGCCTCCAGCAAACCCCAAAGGGAGTGCGAAAGGCTGCCGACAGGCTCCCGAGAGAGTCACACACTAACTCCCCAAGAGGCTCTCGAGGGGAGGGGCCTAACGTGGCAATCTTGGGAGCTGCTTGGGCTGACCACTCGGGCTACTTTTTTGGGCGCACGCTTACATGGATCGGGGAAGGTACCCCCAAAGCATGAAGCCAATGCCGCCCAACTTCGCGACGAAGCGAGCCGACTCTGCACGGAAACGTTAACGGCATGCGTCGCTAATCCGCACGCCTTGATCCATGCTCGTGCTTCCTCGATGCGTGGGCCGACTCCTCCTGTGGTTCGGCTGGCGTCCCCCCCTTCTTTGCTCCACTGATGCCTCTTTTTCCCAACCATCCTGTGGTGTTGCGTCCTCGTTTTGAAGAGACGGTCCCCGCGTTCCTCCTTCTCCTCCTCCTCCTCCTCCTCCTCCTCCTCCTCCTCCTCCTCCTCCTCCCCCTTCTTTGCTCCACCGATGCCTCTTTTTCTTCTGCAGGGCCGGCGCCTCCCCCGGCGGACGCCGCGAGCATCGCCTGCAGGGCCTGCAGGTCCGGCAGCATGCCGCCTGGCCGGCCGCCGCGACCGCGCCGCCTCCGCCGGACCGCCAGGGCACGCGGCTGCTGAGATAGAGGGAAAAGAACTATGCACATGCACCGATTCTGGCCAGGCCCATCCTGAGCCCAGGATCGGTGCATACGCCCTCCTACCTTGGCCAGGAAGGCATATGCACCGATCCTGGGTCAAAGATGGGCCTTGCCAGGATCGGTGCATGTGCATAGTTCTCTTCGCCCGATGAGACAAGGCCAGGACCTCAGAGATGGGACGCACAGAGGCATACTAATACTATATGTCCTCCTTGGAGGCGCGTGTCCGACCCGAACATGTAGTATGTCCATCTTGTAGTATGTCGCTTCCCGAGCGGCGTGGCCAGAAAGCGCACGTCACGACGCACATGCTATAGGATTTCTTGGTGCGCGCGTCGCCCCTGGGGGGCGACGCACATGTAGTACAAGTACAGTCGGAACTAGAACAGAAGAACATCATTCAAGAACATGAGACCCTCCGCCGGCCAAAAGCAAGAGCCTTCGAGAGTACCCCCCCCCAGAATGCACAAGAACATCCAACAAACTCGAAGAACAATAGGGTACCCTCCCCGAACCGACCTGGATCTTATGCCTCGGTCAGACTGTATGTTGGGGTGACGCCGATCACAGACGGGGCCCCGAGGCCCGTGGCCCCGAGGCAGGAGGCCCTGGACAGCGCGGGCTCGCCCTGAAGCCCCGCCCTGCCCTCGGGGCCAACATCCTGCAGGGCCCCGCCTTCCTCGGGGATGGACAGACCTCCCTTTAGCAAAACGTGGTCTAGTGAAAACGACCTGAGGCCCAAACCTGGCGGGCGCAAGCCTGGAGAATAACGGCCGCGGCGCCCTCTCGAGAACCGAAAACGGACAATTCGCTAATCGACGTGTCACTGTTGGGGGTTCTGTCCACCCCCGACTTCCCCGGCCTGGCTCCCGGGCAAGATGGGGCCAGGACGGGAGGAGGAGGAGGAGGAGGAGGAGGAGGAGGAGGAGGAGGACAGAGTCGCACTGGGACACGCCGGGGATCCAGGAGAGCCGGCGGCACCGGCCCCGGAGGACGCATCGGGCGCCGCGGCCGCTCCGAAGCGAAGCGCTCTGCGAGCGTGCAGGGCAAGGCACGCGGCTGCGCACCCAACACGTCCCGATTTTTGAGCAGGGACCGACCGTCTTGGCATTCCTATAGTCCTACCACAAAATCTTCTCAGAACCCGAAAATGTTCTCAGAACAAAAACAGTGTTCTTAGAACATAAGCCCGAGGTGTGAGAACAAGACAGACTCCGCCAGAAATGTCCTAAGGACATTTCGTGGAAACCACAAAAGGTTCTTAGAACTTTGTCTGGTAGGGCTATAGGCGAGCCAGGACACTTCGCAACTGCTTGAAATCTGGAGTCCCGAAACGGTGCGGTGACAGACCGTGCGGTGACCTCGCAATCCCCCAAGACCTCACCGCACGGTCCGTCGACGCACGGTTTGGGGGGCCTCGGATGCCCCAACCGCCCGAGACGTCCTCGGAGCACGACCCGGAGTCCCAGAACCGTGCCGTGGCCCCCGCATCCCCGCCGACTCGCCGCACGGTGTGGTCACCACCCCGTCTGGGGGCCCCCCGGCCCGAGGAACAGTCCAGGCGCTGTTTCTCTTCCTGTGGGCCTCTGGGGGGGGGCCTCGGTGGGCCGCCCCGGCCGCGCCAAGCCCCCGCTGGACCGGCAGGGCACGCAGCTGCGCACCCAGCGCGTCCGCAGGACTGAGCTCCTCGGTCCGTCTTAGGCTGCTCCCATCGAGCACGTCGGTCGGAAGAAGGAGGTAGAAACATGAAGTAGGAAGGCGGATGATAAAGTGGATTGGGCCCAGGCCCTCCCAGAGAACAACAAAACACAGCAACATCATGTCGACTCTTGAGGTAGGAAGGCGCTTGAAGTGGATTGGGATCTGGGTATCCACAAACACCTACTTTCAACGACCGGCGGTACTTAAGGACCACATCCCAGAAAATGTTTCGAGCACCCAGAAACGTGTCGAAGGAGTGTCGAAGCGGTGTCGGACGAGCGTCTCCCAGGGCCTGACACGTGAAAACCCTCCAGTGTCGGTACATTCCGTCTGGTGCTCGAGATTCTTTCTGGTGATCAGGGCTAGAAGCAGGTTGGGAGCATCATAAAATCCGTCTCGGCCTCCCAAGGGGGGGGGGGAGCGCTCTCGGGCCCCCCGGGGTCCCGCTGGCCGACGTACCCCCCAGATGGGGATTTATGGCAGAGGGAAACAATTAGTGAACACCCCCCCTGCCCCCCAAACTCAAAGTTGGCACGCGCTCGGGAGACTGCGGTCGAGGTGCAACTCATCAGACCCACCGCCAACTCTGAACATTGGGAGGAGGGGGAGGCGTTCACAGATGAATGTGGCATGAGTGTTCGCTATTTTTTCCGAGGCCTGTATAATGCTCCCTTCTTGTTTCGTGGGGCGTATCTCCCAAACTGAAGGGGCCCCAGGACACACAAATAAATACACACAAGTATTCCCCATATTTTCCTATATTTTCTGGGTTTTTGTCTTCCCCCCACTTCCCATATTGTTCCATATTTTCTGGGGAATCGCCGATTAATTTTGTCTGTGTGTTTCTTTCCCTCCTGATGTATCCCAAACTGGGGGGTGGGATGGTGGGGCCGAGACAGCATGGCCCCATGGGGATGGGGATCGGTGAAACGGTACGGTCGGACCCAAGACAGAAGCACAGCCTTCCAGAACACGAGGCCCTCCGCCGGCCAAACTCTGGCCATCGCTCGGACGTCCATTCCCTGTGTTTTCTTCGATATCGTGCGTGGTTTTTTTCGCCACATGATCAAGGATGCTCCTCGATGGTCCTCGCCGAAGGAAAAATGCACACGTCCGAGCGATGCCAAGAACTGAAGAACATTCGAGGGTTACCCTCCCCCAGGACGCGCAGAAATCAACAAACACGACCCGAACTGTGGAAACCAGAAGTTACCGATACCGCTACTCCGCGGACCTCTCCTGGGGTGCGTCCTCACCAGGATTTCGAGGCGAACGAGGGTTACCCTCCCCCAGGATGCACAAAAATCAAAAAACACGACCCGAACTGTGGAAACCAGAAATTACCGATACCGCTACTCCCCGGACGGACCTCTCCCGGGGTGCGTCCTGACCAGGATCTCGAGGCGAACGAGGGTTACCCTCCCCCAGGATGCACAAAAATCAAAAAACACGACCCGAACTGTGGAAACCAGAAATTACCGATACCGCTACTCCCCGGACGGACCTCTCCCGGGGTGCGTCCTGACCAGGATCTCGAGGCGAACGAGGGTTACCCTCCCCCAGGATGCACAAAAATCAAAAAACACGACCCGAACTGTGGAAACCAGAAATTACCGATACCGCTACTCCCCGGACGGACCTCTCCCGGGGTGCGTCCTGACCAGGATCTCGAGGCGAACGCCGCGGTCGCGACGAGGGCCTCCCGGCAAAAAGGCGGCGACGGGTAAAGGTATGGGTACCTTGTCCTCGTTTGGCGAACCGACCTCGATCTTGGACCTCGGTCCAACCGCATTGAGTGCTCCAGATCTCGTAATAAAGGGAGGGGGGTCTCATTTCGGGGGGGGTCTCTTCCAGGCTATCTTGGAGGGCCTGGGGGGGTCTGGGGACGACGTTTTGGAGGGTTCTCCCACGGGGGAGGTCTGAAATGGCTTGTCTTGGAGGGTCCAGACCCCCTCCCTTTTATTACGAGATCTGGAGTACCTTGTCCTCGTTTGGCGAACCGACCTCGATCTTGGACCGGTCCAACCGCATTGAGCAACGAAGATCAGGCCCCGGGGAGCAACAACATACCCACCAGGGAGGGGTCAGAACATCCAGGACAGGAGAGCTCCCAGAATCGAATCGATAAGTCGGATCGGCGATCGAAATAAATCGGATCGGCGGAACTCGGCAGCCGAGTCGGGAGAAATCTGGCGGCGAGCGAGGGGGGCATTTGAGAAGGAAAAGGCCTTCTCAGAAGGCCGCGGGACTTCTCAGAAGTCCTCGCGCCTTCTCAGAAGTTGTTTGTGTATTCGGGGAAAGCTTGGAAAACTTCTCAGCCTTCTGAGAAGGCCTTCTCCTTCGCGTTCCCCTACCGAGCTCGCCGCCGAGAAGTCGAGTCGGCGGAAATCGGCAGGCCAATATGCCTCCACTAAGAAATATGAGCCCAAATCGGAACCCCAAGCTGGATCGAACCGGAA